ATTATACTGCCAGTAATAATTATTTAAATAAATAACAACCTAAAACTTGGTTTTGGATAATATAATCTCAATAACAATGACATAGAATAATAAATTATTTATATGTAAATACATCAAGTGTTTAAAATCAAAATTGTCTTATATATTATCTATCAAATTTACACTTTTACACGTAAAGCATAATAACAATTACAAAACTAGGAAACCTTTATATATTATTAACAAAATAATCGGTTCAGATCTAAGTCAGTTCAAAACAAGCAAGAACTAGAACCAACTCAATTATTAATCAGGACAAAACCACAGAACCAGAACCGATATAATCAGTTAGGTCAGTTTGGATCTGTCAGGTAGAACCAACCCATTGACATCCCTATTATCTATCCTCTTTCTCTTTGAATTTAATGTTATTTCATTAATTCCTATAGTCCTCCATTTAAATTCAAATGCATTAACTATAACTATTCAGTCTAAGTAATTATTAATCCAAATTATCAAAATCCCCATGTAAAAATTTACTTATTAAGTGATGTGATTTGAACCTAAAAAAGTTGATTTCAACATTCAAGTTGCTTTCATAAAACTACAGTTGTTACAAGGTTGATGGGTTGGGCAGGTTGAGCTGGGTCAAGGCAGGTTTGGGTTGAATCCAACCCATTCAGTTTTATTTAAACGGATCATTGACAAGATGGTGGGTTAGATGCTTTAGGTTGAAGCTCAACCCAATTTCCACCCCTGCTCACTTTGGTCTTTCATGTACATTTCTTGTGTTCATTAAAATACCTTATCTTCTTCAAGCAAAAGAAATAAAAAAAAAAAACTTTTGTATGTTTTGACAAGATGGGAATTCATTTGTACATGAAGCATGCTGAAGAAATAAGTCATAAGTGTGGGGTTCCATACCCACACTCAAACTCTAGTGTGTGTGGTTCCACACCCACACCTACTTTCCTAATTGTTTTTATTTTCTTTTAAGATTGGGCCAGCTGGCCTTTTCATGTTTATCTATATTATATTTTGTCTTACTAGGATTAGGACTTGAGTATTTCTGTCCTATTATTGTAAGGAATTAAAGGTTATAAATAAGAAAGAATTTGGGGCGGCAGATATAAATCATCGAACCCCTTTCTTCTCTCTTCTCTTCTTCTTCTTCTCCTGTACTCTTCTTTTCTCTTCTTCTCTTTTCTGAATTACAGTAGAACAGAAATCTACTTGCTTTATTCAAGTTGGTATCAGAGCCTGGGAGGCGAAAGAAACTAGGTTTTTTATGTAAGCCTGATATGGTCGACTACATGAGAAACCATTAGATCAAGACCTCTGCAGAAGTTGCCTGGTTCTTGGAGGTTACTGCAGTGCTGAAAACTGCCCAAGAAAGATTCTTGGAGAATTACTCAGTGACCAGGAAGAATCAGAGATCAGACTCGATCAAGGTTAGGATTTCAAACCTGAGAAGACAATCAGAATTCTTTTTCTGAGAAAGAATTCAGATTCGATCAGAGTTCTTTTTCTGAAGTGGACGATCAAAGTTCCATTTTCTGAAGTGGACGACCAGGATTTCAAACCAAAGAGCTTTTTTTTCCTGAGAAAGGTACAATCTTTAAGCTAATTCGACCTTAGATAGAAGTTATCAAGAATTCTTTTTACAGCAGCATAATAAATCTGAGAATACCTTGTTGTTTTGAGAATACCTTGCTGTCGACTCCTTGGCATTAAACCCTTCGATCCCTTTTTTGAGGAATCAGGATCTGTTCTTTACCGATATTAATCTAGGGCTCTGATTTTACAAAAGTTACAGTTTTGAGAGAAAACTGTCGACTGAAATTAAGTTCAAGGTACCTATTCTTTGCTGAAGATCAACTTCTGGATTGCTTTTCTGTTCCTCTCTTAGTGTTTCAGCAAAAAAAGGACTTTTCTTCTTGAAGTTTTGTGACCATTTTTCAATCTACATAGTATGGAAAGGGTTGGAAGTGAAGTAAATGCTCAAGGGGAAGTTTTTGGGACTTGTAATATGACTGAAAATATGTTCCAGATAATCACTGTTAGGTTTGATGAAACAAATTACTTGGAATGGGCCCAATCGGCAATAATGGCCATTGGGGGCAGAGGAAAATTAGGGTATGTAACCGGAGACACAAAAGAATCAGCTAAGGAGGATATATCTCACCCAAGATGGGTTTAAGAGAACTACTTGGTAATGACCTGGCTATGCAACTCTATACAGCCCCACATCAACTGAAATTATCTCTAGGCTAAAACAGCCAAGGAGATTTGGGACAGCATTAAGGAGACCTATTCCCAACCCCTCAATGTTGCTAGAGCATATGAGATAAAATGTGAGGTGAAAAACCTCAAGCAAGGAGAGAGGCCAGTCGAAGTATACTTTTCTACCCTAAAATCCATTTGGCATGAGATTAATCACTTAGAAACCATTGAATGGGAAAGCCAGAAGGATGCAGCAACACATAGAAAACTGCTTGAAATAAACAGGGTTTTCGAATTCTTAGCCGGCCTAAACTCAGATTTTGACATTACAAGACAGCAACTTCTCACTAGGGAGAGTGTGACCCTATCTCAGGCCTACTCATTAGTCCACAATGAAGAGAGTAGGAGGAAGGTAATGCTATCCTTCCAGCCCACAGAAGCAGCCTTGTTAGCAACAAAATTCAAAGCTGGAGGACAAAAGGAAAAAGAGGTTAAGAAGGAAGACAAAAAAAGATATTTTTTGTGATCATTGCAAGAAGACCAAACACACTAGGGAGACATGTTGGAAGTTGGATCCGCACCTAATGCCAACTAGACTCAAAAACAAGAAAGGAAGTGCTAATACAGCAACTAATATTGGATAACACAACCTCCTCCAGCACAAGGACCACATCCTTGGATGCCTTGGCAGCTGTCCGAGCTGCACTGACACAGTTAGAAAAGGAAGCTGGTATTTTTGGATCTTCAACTACTACACCAGCTCAGTCTACTTCAGCCCTTGCTCATACAGGTACAAGAGTTACTGCATGCCATGCTTCCATCCCAAGTAATACTAGACCTTCCTGGGTAATAGATTCAAGTGCTTCAAACCATATGATCAGTATATCTACTTTATTCAACACCTATTGTTTATCCTCTGGGAGAGACAAAGTTTCCATTGTTGATGACTCTCTTGTATCAATTTCTGTCAAGGGAGACATCAAATTATCAGATACCATCACCCTATCCTCAGTTTTGCATGTTCCTAAGTTTAGTGCTAACTTACTTTTAGTTAGTAGTATTACTATAAATCAAAACTGTTCGGTAACCTTTTTCCCTGATTGGTGTATTTTTCAGGATCTGGAAATGAAGGTGATTGGGACTGGCCGTGAGATGAATGTAGTCTACCTACTTGATCATTCATAGGGGGAGCAGAGGAAAGTAGGGAAATTATTTGTTTCACAGTCTTATAGTAAGATTATACTTTGGCACAACTGCTTAGGTCATTTGTCTTTTGGGTCTTTGAAGAATCTTTTTCCAAACTTGTTTGAGTCAGTACAAGTGTCTAAGTTAAAATGTGAAAGCAATGTATTAAAACGTGAAGGCGTGACGCAAGGCGTTCCACTACCTAGAGGCGTTAAGCGTAGTTCAAAACACAAGAGGCATAAGCCTCCCAAACAAGTAAGCCTCCTTGAGAGGAGGGGGGTTAGGAGGAGGATGAAGGAGAAAGGGGGATCTCATTTTTTCTTTATTTTTAATAAAAATCTTTTATATTAAGAAGAATAAAAATGCATAACATTAGTTGAATGTTCTGGATTTATTGGAAGATAAGTGTAAAAAGTGAACTCCTTAAGGACATGGCTATGTACCAAAGGCTGATTGGAAAACTTCTTTATCTCTGCCTAACTCGGCCAGATATTTCTTATGATGTTAGTATTGTCAGTCAATACATGCATTCTCCCAGGACCACCCACCTCCTTGTAGTAGAAAGGATTCTTTCCTACTTAAAGAGATGTCCAGGGAGAGGTATACTCTTCAAGAATAATGGTCATATGAAACTAGAAGTGTACACAGATGTGGATTGGGCTGGATGTGTTGATGACAGTAGATCTACCTCTGGATATTGTGCATTTGTGGGGGGAAACCTTGTTTCCTGGAGAAGTAAGAAACATAATGTTGTTGCTCACTCCAGTGCAAAAGCAGAATACAGATCTATGGCTAATGGTGTCGCAGAAGTGTTATGGCTGAAATCCTTGCTTAGTGAGTTGGAGATTGATTATGAGCAGCCTCCAATGCTATATTGTGATAATCAAACTGCAATTAATATTGCCCACAACCCAATACAGCATGATAGGACTAAGCATATTGAGGTTGACAGACATCTTATCCGAGAGCGAGTTGCATCTCAAGAAGTATGCCTTTCTTACATTGCCTCAGACATGCAGTTAGTTGATCTCTTCACCAAAGCAGTCACAAAAATCAAATTGGAGATAGATTTACGCAAGTTGGGCATGGCAAATATCTACTCCCAACTTAAGGGGGAGTGAAGAAATAAGTCACAAGTGTGGGGTTCCATACCCACACTCAAGCTCTAGTGTGTGTGGTTCCATACCCACACCTAGTTTCTTAATTGTTTTTATTTTTCTTTTAAGATTGGGCCGACTGGCCTTTTTGTGTTTATCTATATTATATTTTGTCTTACTAGGATTAGGACTTAAGTATTTCTGTCCTATTACTGTAAGGAATTAAAGGTTATAAATAAGAAAGAATTTGGGGTGGCAGATATCAATCACCAAACCCCTTTCTTCTCTCTTCTCCTCTCTTCTCTTCTTCTTCTTCTCCTGTACTCTTCTTCTCTTTTCTGAATTACAGTAGAACAGAAATCTACTTGCTTTATTCAAGTCATGCATCATAGGGTTGTGATCCAGCAACTAACGACTAGATTCCGACATTAAACTGCATATATGTATGAATTTATCAACCCAAAGAAAAGAAAATAACCTAATGAAGCTGCAGATTAGTGGATTAAACAATAAAACCTGAGATAGCTGTGAAGCAGTTCTGTCACCCTTGTAGTCTCCTTTGAGGATGTTTGACCAATTCCCTTCCCCAAATTTCTGCACAGCAGCAATCAGTTCCATATCCTCCTCTGCAGTCCATAGTTTCCTTTTCCTTCGTGCAGGCAGCCCACCACTTGTAGATCCACCTCCATCCAATCCCTCTACAGATGTTGTTGTTGGCAAAGGTTGTTTCTGGACTGAAACTGGAATAGTAATGTTTGTCCCTTGTGAAGAAGAAGCCAGTTGTTTCTCTGATGGAGTACGAAATGCCTGACCATTGGGTATATTTATGGTCAATGGAGCCTCTACAGTTGAGTGGTTGAGAAGACCAGAATCACTTGGCAAACCGGAAGCAATGAGTACCTGGCCAGAGGAAAGGCAATGCAATATAAAATAAATAAATAAATAAAACAATAGCAGTAACAAACAAACGAAAGAAGAGTCCTGATGTACACTTCCTTTCTCTCAGTATAATATGGATAAAGGAGCAGCACCCATGAATAGACAGTCACTAAGAATGACCTCAGGCACGACTGCTATAAATAAAGCATGGATAAATGATCAGCATGAATCCAACTGATCTGGACTATAAACTAGTACAAAGTAAGGTAGCATTTTCAATTGCATGGTTGCTTGGGCTACAAAATTGATCTGAGAGCCTCAGACAATATGACGCAAATCAGCTGCAATTACACATCACATTCACATTATGGATATTTTTTCAAAAGATAACATGTAAATGTATCTATTAAATAATTTATATCAAAATATATATACAAGCCCCTTGTACAAATAATCTATGTGCAGTAAAACCACAGGGCAAACTATGATTCCCTAAAGATCAACAGACAGAAAAGAGTGGCCAGACTTTTTCTTTATGAAAAAGGTTAAATATTGTATTAATCAAAGAAAAGAGACAATACAAAACAATATCTCGATCACAGCAAGCTGCTATTTCTACAAGCCTAGGCTGTACACCCAACAATAATTATAATAAAGAATGTCAGTGATGAAAAAATAACCATATTGGGTGCCTCTGAAACATCTATGTATTGCCACCTGTCACCAAGTACACTCTGCCCCATTGGGCCTCTACAACTGAGTCCTCCAAGTTCAATTTGACTTACAAAATTCTAGGACTTCTTTCCCTCCACAGTCCACACCAGAGCCAAAGGAACAACACCCCACACACCACTTTTCATTTTCTTCTTAAACAATCCAGCTGCCAGCTTTTCATGAAGTTTTCCTCATTCTCGGGAAAGCATAGCTGAACCCCAAAAAAACGTCCAGCATCCTCGCCCCCAGACTTCCCACAGAATTACAATGCAAGAACAAGTGATCCACTGATTCCATTCTCTTTCGCACATTATATAAACCTCATTATCTGTCACAAAACCCCTTCTTAGCAAGTTGACAGTGGCCAAATGCTTATTCAAAGATGCAGTTCATAGCAGAAAAGCCATTTTTCCTGAAGCAGCTGTGCACCAAATCCTAGCCCAAGGAAATTGGGCCTCTCCCTGATCAATCAGGCTATTATAAAATGATTTGATTGAGAATATACCATTCTTTCTCCGCCTCCAAACTCTCTTATCAGCCAATGATCTGCTTCGGATCACTGCTTCTATCTTGCACAACAAGCTTGTATATTGATTAAAAATAGGATTCCAAGCACCTCTCTCACTGTGACATTCATACATATCATCAACAAAGCTTCTTTATTGTGGACCATCTCAAACAAAAAGGGAAACAAAATCTGCAATGTTTTGATCCACACACCAAGAATACTTCCATCACCAATTTTATATCTAATGCCTTTCAAGAAACCAAATTTAGTTTGTTGGATTCCATTCCAAAGGGAGCAACCATAGCTATTATTAATATCACCTAGGTCCCAATTCCCATCTCCAGAGCTATGATTATCCATAATAATCTGCCTCCACAAGCTGTCCACTCTCAAAACAGTTTTAATAAGAGTAATCTTTCCACCTTTCAATAAATATTTGAATTTCCACCCCGCCAATTTTTTATTGACCCTTTCCACCACCAGCTCTCAAACAGCTTTGGAAACACATTGCTCTCCTAATGGCAGACCAAGGTATTTTGTAGGAAGCTTTTTAACCTTGGAACCAACAGATTCAGTCAACATCTCCACATCCACCCCTTCTCCCACAGCACATAGTTCACTCTTTCTCAATATTAACTTTCAGACCAGATATAGCTTCAAACCATTTCAAATAAATCTCAAATTTAACACTTATTCCTGATCAACCTTATAAAAAAAGTGTCATCAGATATGCGCTCCCTCCCTTTTACCCAACCTACATGCTTCAAGCAATCACCAATCCACCACTCTATTAGCTCCTACTAGGGGTGATCATGGGCCAGGCCGGGCCGGGCCAGGCTTTGCACTTATGATAAAGGCTATAGCTTAGGCCTGGGCCCAGCCCGGCCCGGGGTTCCAGGCCCGAAACATAAGCCCTAGCCCAGGTCTACACGGGCCCGGGCCGGGCCAGGCCTGATTCTGGGTCAATGTCTTTCATATATAAAACATTACATATCTATAATATTTTATATTAAATGACATAGCATGCATATAAACTTATTTTCTACATTATATAATATAAAATATTACATATAATATAAATTATACATGTCATGTTATAATATTTATATATAAAAAATAAATAGTATAATGTAAAATAACATGTACACATTATACACGGGCCCGGGCCGGGCTTGAAGTATTAAGCCCAAGCCTGGTCCTAAAATTTGCTAACAGCCCCCTCACCATCAAATCTTTCCACTGCCATCACCGGCATCCCCTCATCTTCCATACAAAACAACAATGGCTTGTTTGCTTCCTTTGGCATTGACTCCGCCCACAATGATACAATCAGTAGCCTTTCCCCATCAATCACTCTCACCTTTAGAGGAATACCTTTCCAAAGTACTTTAATCATGATCCATTCCACCATCTATTTGGCTTTCACCAAGTTGTCTGTCTCAAAAGAGGAGCCAATCACTGCATCAACAGGACTCTTTTCATTTCAAACACTCTAGCATTTCTTTCTAACCAGATTGCCCAAATAATTGCCAAATGAAAAACTAACCACTAGCCAACAGATTCTATCTTTCTTGTTCATGCCTCTGATGTATCATTCTTTAAGAAGGTCAGGAACAGATGCTCACTAGAACCCAAGAAGCCAAATAGCCTGTTAAATGTGCTTATTCACATTATGAATTATGAATAACGAATACAGGTTGGAAAAAAGTAATACACAATGCATGCTTAGTTTTGCAATCGAATACTATAGTAACCTTGTAGTTGATATTAATGAAAATTAACCTCACAAATGGTTTGTCATGGGATATTGTACTTTTAGGGGTGGAAATTTTGTGTCATCAAGGAGCAAGAAGCAATCTATTGTTGCTCAACCTAGTGTTGTAAGTAGCATAAAGCAATAGGTCATGGTTCATCCAATCTGCTTTGGTTGAAAGACTTACTTGGTGATTTGGGTATTAAAGTTTCAGGTCCTATGAAGCTATTGTGATAATAAGGCAACTAAACACAAATTATGATCCAGTGTAACATGATAGAATTAAGCAAATTGAACTCAACATGCATTTTCATAGAGAGTAGCTTCCCAAGAGATGTGTCTTCATACTAAATATGAACTTGCTATTTTATTAAAAAAAATAAAGCATGTTTAAATCAAGTTTAAGTGCAATTGAATCTATGCTCCACTTGGGTGGATGGGTGGGAGGGGGAACGGTATAGAGTGATAAGTAACTAGAGAAATACAGTGAATAAGGTCAGTCAGACCTAAGATTTTTTTATCAGCAAGAAATTTGAAACTTACATTAAAATGAGAATCTGGATATTACAATGACAGGGTGTATCCACCCATAAGAATTAATTCCAATCCCAGCGAAGTTACAAAATTTACAATGGTGCCCAAAACAGTTGTTGCCTATATACCCTTTGCTTTGCTAGAGTATCAGCCATCCCATTTGTTGTTAGCCTAACCCACTTGAATCTCCCTCTACTTCCAAGTGCTGAAATCTTAGGTCAGTCAGCCCTAAGATTTCTTCTCTAGCCTAATGCTTCTTGCTTCTTCTCCTCCTCTAACTACTCCAGGTCCTTTAATTCCTAGCATATTGCTTTTCCAGTCAGAAAAACAGATAAGCATTTACATTAACAGGATGTACGAGTATATCAAGGAAAATACAAGGAATATCCCATAAATCATGTGCCAGGGAATCAACCAGTGAGTTTGCTGATCTAGGCACCCAACAGATTTCTGCCTGTAGTCTTAGACATAGTGATCTTGATTCCCTTATTTTGTCCACCCTTCAGCCCAGTGTTTTAAAAGCGCAAGGCACAAGGGACATTTTGCGCCTGAGGTGCAAGGCACAAGGTGAGGCGTGCGCCTTTTTGAGGCAAGGTACACAATTAAAAAAAAAAGGCTAAAGATTAAAAAAAAAATTGCAAAAAGTTCAAAAAAATCAAAAAATTATAAAACATAATATTAATAAAAATATAAAGTTAAGTTTTAAAATAAATGTTTTAAAACTATTATCTAAAATTAAAATACATAAATATAATATGTAAAGCATATTCAAATGAGAATTTAAAAATGAAATCAAACATATAAAACATTTTCAAGCATATAAAACCCACAATCTCTTTTTTTCTCAATTGCATCAAGTAGCTAATGTGACATATTACATTCCTAATTCTACGAGCCGCCTTTGTGCCACGCCCCTCGAGTCCAGCCCAAACAAGTCCATGTTAGGGTCTTAAATTCTTAGAATTCACACAAAAAAATTATAATCTTCAAGAATCTCCTATTTGGCAATGCTGTTGATTCATTCATCTTAAAAAAATATCTTCTTAAAAGCAATTAAACTATAAAATTATAATTTTTTGTGTGAAATCTAAGAATTTAAGACCCTAACATGGACTTGTGTGGGCTGGCCTCAAGGGGCGTGGCGGTCAGACACAAAAATAAAAGGAAACAGCGGAAAATTTTCAAAAGGCGCATGCCTGGGCTAAGGCACTATCCCCTGCTTTTGTATGCTCTCTCTCAATTCATTAATTACTTAGACATCTAATAATGTTTTAGACTCCTAGCATAGTTGTCAAGGCGACACCTAGGCGCCCACCCAGAGACTTAAGCGGGCACCTACATACATCTAAGAAACTTTTTTTTTAATTTATTATTTTGATATTTTATTGGATGTTTTATTATTTTAAAATAAAACTGGTCACATGCTATCATTTTATTATTAAGACAACAATACAACTAGTGCTTTTTCTTTTGTTTATACATAAGGGAGGAGAACTGAAGACTTCATGCCCCAACCCAACTCCATCGCACCTCAGCTTCAGCAGGTAAGTTCTTCTTCCAGCCCAGCTTCAGTCATTTTTTGCTTTTTTTCAAAAAAACCGGGGCTCCACCCCTATACTCCTCCCTTGCTCCACAGCTCCACTCATTCTTCCGCCCCTGACTGTTCTCAATCGATAATCTCAGTCCCTTTTTTTCCGAAAAAAACAGGGGCCTATACTCCTCCCTGCCCCTAATCCCCTATACTTCTTCTTCTTCCGCCCCTATACTCCTCTCCTCCCTTCCTAGTTCCTGCACTTATTTTTTTTTCAGTTAATAGTTAGTGTACATGCTTGCTAGTTAGTGTACATGATTGCTAGTTATATGAAATTTATACTCATTGGAATGATTTATAGTGTTAATAGTTAGTGTACATGCTTGCTAGTTAGCACACAAAACCAATAAAATAGCTTAGAAAAGCATAGATAAAGTAAAAACTCAAGAAAACTAACATTTTAAAATTCCAACGCCTAGGTGCCTGGGCGCCCTATGGTCGCAAAGCCTTGCCTTGGCGCCTTGAAAACTATGACTCCTAGTACTTTAATAATACTAAGTTTCAGAAATAAATTTTAGCTTTTACTGATTGGCGTCAACTCTTCTTGCCAAGTCAAAGTACTTTGGCATGCTTTACCAGTAACCTCCTTAACTACACTGACCACTACTCCAGACTGATAAGGTGAGAAAATATAATTTCACAAGGAAAAGAAATGCTTAATTTTTGGAATTAAACAGAATGCAAATATGTCATAATAGCCAAAGGATTGAAGGCAGAAGCAATATCTTCCTGAGGCAAAGATGTACCATTTAGAGATGGCGTTTCCTACCTTCACACAGGCTGCAGCTTCTGTTGAGGCTTCACTGCCAACAGGAGGGAATGCTTCTAATTCAAGTTCTAAATCACTATCATCATCCTGAAAGCAGAATATAAAAATTATTTGATTGCTTTACACCGCTCAGAAAAAACCAACTACACCCCATCATATAAATTGATCTGGTAAAAGGAAGTAAAATATAAGCAGTCTCTGTTGTATCTTATAGACCTTAAAAATAGAATATATATGGGGCAATTTTCGTTTTGAAAGCTAATTAGAAATGGAAAAAAATCACCCCATCAAGAACTATGGGATTTGGTTGCACTATCAAAGCCAAACAGGTTATTACAACATGTACAAGGAATACAGACACCAATCTTAATGATGCTGCTGAACAGATTACAGATGTACAACGAGATGGCTTCCTGCCACATGGCAAGGCACCCATGCATTCAAATCATCCAGGCAGCCACCATCCCTGCCCCATTCTGCAAGAGGGAGAATATAAAGCAGTTCCAAAATGCAAAAATCAAGTTCCTCTTGACATTCAAGAAGGTTAGGCCTCCAACAAGGAAGCTGAAGACTGCATACAAAGCAACAGGCCCAATTTATTTATGGAATTTTGGGCATAGATAGTGGTTACTCCTTGACAATACCTCTTTGGATTAGTTGAACAAGAGAATATAAGATTAGGTTTAGAAATTTTGTTGTTCGAAATATTCCAATCACCAGATCTGGTAAGAGATTTTCTTTTGAGATAAATAAAATATAAAAGTTTATTAAATAAAAGAGATTAAAATTGGTAAAGGTGATGGGAGATTACTGACCAAAGAAAAGAAAAAGATACATAAAGAAATTCTCCCAATCAAGTCCAAACAACACCAAAAAACAGCCCTAAAAGAATTCTTAGAACCCCTTCAAGTTCAGGAAGGATCAAGCCTATAAAGAATCAAAGTTTGATAGAAGCAAATTGATGCTGAGATGTACTGCTTTTTTTACAGTGCATTTCTGATTAGTAGTTGGTTTGTCAACTAGACAACCATCTTTCTGAGATGTACTGCTTTTTTTCAGTTTTAATGAAATTTCCTTTTTTTTATCCTTCAAAAAAAAATTTTGTTTCACTTATTTCAATCACATATAATTTGTACAACCAAAAAAAAATATTGCTGACAATAGAAAGGGCCACTACGCATTGTTGGTCCCATCTACCCAGGATCTTGCAACTTGCAAGAAGTGAGCTGGATATGGATCTAACCTTTGGCATTTATTTGCAAAAGTGGGCATTCCCATACTCAAATCCACATTCTCACACCTGTCAGCCAAAGTTTTTACCATCGTACCAAGCAATGGACCCTTTTTCAAAATTTGTGTTGACAATATGGATCAATATTCATTAAATCTAGAGTGGTAACATCTTGTGCCTCCTCGTATGGTGAATGTACACATCCTTTCTTATTAATAAAATCATTATTCATTTATCAAAAAAATATATTCATAAAATCTGGAAGGAACCAGAATAACTTGAAATTGGCCCCTCTTGCCGCTTGAATGTCTACCAAACCAGTAGAAAATCTCAGACTGCCATGGTTAGAGAGTATTCCTAGCACCACAAAAAGAGAGGAGAAGGTAATGGTGCCGCATGCTAGTTTGCACTGGAAAACATTTTGAACACTTGTGTGTTTTCAAATGGATCCCGACCAAAATCCCTAATTTTGACCATAAAAACTAAAAGAGATTAGCTAAAACAAAGAATCAGAGTCCAATGAAATCAATAAGGCATGTATATTTGATGAAACATGTGTGTGTGTATGTGAGAGAGAGAGAGAGAGATTCAGGTCAATGTGGATGGGTAATGACAAGATTTGATTGCTGGAAGCATGAGAAAGAACAAGTTGGGAAAGATAGATTAGATTAAGGATAATTATTTCTTTCATAACTTCGCATATAAGTACAGATTAGATATATGTCCAACGATTTCCAGGTTCAGTAAAAAGGTTGGTTTTATAACTAGCATGGAAGTTAGTCTTTTCTATAGCCAACCTATTGTTGCACTCTGACAATATTTACATTAATGTTGAAGTTTTTGCATTTCACCTTTTTCGTTCTTTAAGGTTGTTATTTAATTCACCTTTATACTATAAAAAAGGAATTTGGAAAGCTAATCTAGCTATTGTTGCACAATTCAACTGCAAACAATTCAGGAATATCACACTAGAATCAGAATTTTACCACATTAATTAAGCTCCCATTATACTATGTTCAAACTTCAAACATGATACATTTACTCATATGTGAAATCCTAACAACATTGGAATTTGTATGCTCATTTTCTTAGGTAAGTGAAATATGAAACTCTGACTATGAAAGGAAACTTGGCTAGTTTGGTGAGGGCCTGACTTAACTGCAAATTATTTAAATGAATTCAAACATCGCGGCTTTTATGATAAAATCAAAACACAGCCACAAGATTCAATGTATGGAAGAATTCCAATGGGCATAAGTACATGTCTGATCGACCAACACAACAGTTATACTTATGAAGCATGCAACTAACCAATGGTTCAGCTCCATCTTCTATTTTTTCTGCCATTGGGTGACGGTAGGCCAAATGCCGCCAGAGCATCTGATACTCCCGCGCATTAGAAATCCCCGTCGTGGTCTTCTTGACCAATGCATCCCAATCGATCTTGGTGTCAGCAAACTGAGCAACTTCCTGAAGTAAAGCAAGTATTGTTGTTGCCGTATACCTAATGGGTGAAGAGAAGCACATCACTATCACCACATGATACCATGAAAGCATGAACCACATGAAAATTCAACTAAACCTCAAATATAGCAATGAGTTCGTATTCTTTCAACGGATTCCTTAACCAAATTTTACAAGGAGCCCAACTCCCTAAACATAATGACCCACTCGATGTGTCTTAATTCAAATGGAAAAATATATACAAGCATACATATACCACAACAGAATGAAACAACTGAACTATTATCCACGGTTTAAACTTAATAAAAGATATACAGAAACAAACAGAAGAAAACCTTTGTAAAAGCACGGAGATATCCTCTTCGCTGATGGAACCTTTCTTCTTTTTCTTCTTCTTTTCGGTCATGGTACCTCCAAACCCCTGTGCATTAAAGAAAACCAAAAACCCTAAACCCTAAATCATTGAAAATCAGAAATAGGACTTGGGGAGAAGATTTTTATGATATTGAGAAAAATAAAGGAGTATTTTGGAAGAGAAAGGGGGCAAGGACGAAGGGTATGAATTGAAGAAAAGAGAGGTTTAAGGAACTAAAAGACTGTTCGTATTCGAACGAAGGAATCGACGGTGGAAGAATGTTTCGAATTCGACCCCGCGCTTGAGTCAGTCAACTAGGTGAGGAGACCGGAGACCACAGAGAAAAATTGCTGAAAGCGAAGGAAATCTCGAGTCTGGACTCGATGCATTAAATCACGAAATTTTCTTGTTTAAATCACGAAATTACTGCCTTTATGAAGCAACAGGGGAAAGTGCTAGAGAAACTCGACCACTCGATCCAAGAGACAGCGACGGGGAAGAATGGTACATGGTGGCTGGTGGGACCCATGAAAGGTGGACCATAACTCAAAATGTAGCCATACGTCCCGCCATTTCCATGCAGGCGAAGCAATTTCAGATGCGTTTCAGATGCGTGCAATTTCAGATGCGTATTTTGCCATGTTAGTGCGACGAAGGCATCCCCCTCTCTCGTTATTATTTGGTTGATCGTTATAACAACGAGGGTGTTTGGTTTCGTTTAAGTTTATTATTGGTGGTGTCACATAAACGCCATTTCAGTATTTTCTCTCTCTTATTTTTTTACAATGGAATTTATTTTTTAAAGCTTTTACAAAAAGTGATAAGTACTGTTATGTTGAAGTGGTGTCTAGTTGTCATAAATTGTTGTAATTATTGTATTTTTCGATTTTATCAACAAATAAAATACAAATGTTTATTCAATAAACATAAAGGGAACTAAATACATACAATACGACGGTCTATTCATTTTACTTATTTGGGTAAATACATTATACATCTACCCAGACAACTGTTCCATGTGCTTTATCCAAATAAGTGAGATTCCGATATTCCATGTATGTGACAAGTTATTCGGGTAAAGAGAGCAATGGGAGGAAGAGAATGCTTATTGCCATGTGGATAAGTTGCCACCTTGCAAGAGGGTATCAATTACATGAATAATTGATACTCTTCAGTATCCTGGATTATTGTGGGACTCAATATAATAGCAAGTGAAAGTGAATATCATGATCAAGTTACCCCACTAAATACTGGCAAACTAAGCATAAAACCTATGGTTAATTTACAAAACTCCAAAGCATGGTCATTGTCTGAAAAAATCGCAATGATATACCAAACATCAACTATCATTTGCACTGGTTGTATAATAGTGCAAGCAAGTTGAGCACAAGGGGTTGACTATGATGTCAAAAAATGTGACAATTAAAAAAATTATAACCTATCAATCGGTTCCATAAAAAGTCATAAAAGTGGTAACCAATGAGATAGCTTTCACCAAAACTCCTTGGAGGTGATTTGACCAATGCCTGTTTAGTATTATACCTTTTTTGCATCTTTTTCTCCCCAAGTTTCCCTTACAACCAGCAAAGGGCCTTACAAACTAGCAGCTTCGTTAATAAGGAAGGCAATGTGCATGACTTTGGTAGTTAGGGTTATAAACTATTTGCATGTGGCTCTTATAAGCTAGATAAGCAAAAAAGATCGGCCAGTCTATAAAAACTTATTGCTTTGTATTTTAGTGAATAAGTTTTTATAGAGGTTATAGGCTCCTTAATAGCTTGAATATTTTATATCTAATTAGTTTCCCACTAAAAACAAAATGAATAAGTCATTCAATTCAACAACTTCAGTTGTTATCAAATGGCTATTTGGAGGGTGTTTGACAACATGGTTGGTTTTGTTTTGAAAACAAAAATAACTAAAACATCAGCAAAAATATATTGTTTTTGTTGATGTGGCAAAAATAAAACCAATTATATTGTCAAACACTCCTTAAGTTTACACTTTGTTTTATTTGCTTATAGTACATATGAAGTAAAATAAACCTTAAGGCTATGTTTGGTTTGAAGGAAAATGTAGGGAAAGGTAGGGAAACCTTTACAAACCTTGTATTGGTTTCCCTGTTTTTCCCTTCCTTTCCCTACCTTTTCCTCCAAACCAAACATAGCCTAAGTAAAGTGAAATAGATGAAACTAAAAGCAAGATGAATTAGACTTTACACTCCATTTATAATTTTCATTGTTACCCCCATGCATTTGTATTGAGGCAAAATGAATGGAATCCAATGTTGCATTTTGATTGCAATGCAACATTTGAAATGGGATAAATGCATAGGAATGCAACTAGGTCCAATGTGAAGTAACTTAAGTCTGGTTTTATTTTGCTCCAGACTTGACATTGTCTTATTTGTTTGTGAAAAGTAAAATGAGGTGTAAAATGGTGTGGTCCCACTCTCACCTTACACACGAGAGAATATGGTGGTAGGGGAGGATTATTTGTCTATGATGAGTGAGGTAGGAAGGAAAATGATGTGATCTCCACTTTATATGAGATAAATCAGATATGAAGAAACTGCAAAATTTTCATCAATTTTTGAAGTGTAAAATTTACACTACTAGTGAGTATAAATGAGACCAAACAAATGTACAAATGTTGTATCAGATAAGGGCAAATCATAGCTACAAACAACAAATGCAAAACTAAACTAGGTGCAAAATTTGTATCCCATTTTAGATTTGCACTACAACCAAACACGACCTTAGTAGCATATTCAAGGTAAATAAATACTTATCCTTTTGGCCCCATTCATCTTTCGAGAAATAGGAGGGGCAAAAGTTGGACAACTGGAAAGTGATTCCCATTGACCAACTTTACATTGTTCTTTTTTCAATAAGCTCTTGACCACATGGTAAAGTTAGTTTCCCTAGGGACTCCCAAGTGGGCAAATAGTTTTCCCAACTGGAAGGAAAATTTACAAAGCATAATGGGACAAGTTTGTCCTTCCTAACATTGGCTTGTTATGAGTAAGAAAAGTTATTATATAACTTATATGGGAATCAAATGAACATGGGTAAATGAACTTACTCGGGCAAGTGTTTCTCAAGAAACATTTACCTAGATAAGTGCATTTACCCGAGTAAGTGACCTTTTAGAAAACAAACAAGGCCTTTGTATTTTGTGACAATCTCGTGCATCTCTATACTATTATAAAGCTGATACTTGCTTTGATTATGGTGCAAATCATAAAAAAAATAAATTAAATTCTATAGTGTCGAACTTATAACTTTACCATTTACTTACACATGTGCATAACATGTATTCTTACACCAGTGTCAGAAACAAGGTGTTTATAATATTAGACAAAACATGTTATCAATCCATGCTTGTTGCTGGATTATCAATGTACGACAAAAGGCCATAACATAATCCAATTATTTCAAATTTAAATGTTAAAAAACTTGTATCTACTTAGTTGGTGGGTAGTGTGGTTGTGGTTTTATTTTCAATGTTTGACATTGAATTTCAGGAAATTGAAGTGTGTTGGCACATGATACAATGTATAATTATATAAGCCTTGTTTGGTTCACGGGAATAGGGGTCTGGAATCGGAATCGAAATGGGCTATTCCGATTCCAACTGTTTGGTTGAGTGAAATCGAAATCCCATTCCCATTCCTTCCAGAATGACATTCCCCATACGAGGGAATGGTCATTCCCTACCCATTCTTTGGGAATGAAATTTCATTCTTGCTTATTCCAATTCTCATTCCCATATTTGTCTGAACCAAACAGACTATGGGAATAGACCATTACGATTCCGATTCTGACCATTAACCAAGCGGACCCTTATTGTTATTTTGAACATATAGATGCCATTTGTCTCCACTAGACACAACATAGGACACCTAAAGTGGAAATCTCCTTTATTGAGGAAATAATTTTTTGAAGGTAGAGCAACATATGACACCTAAAGTGGGAACAACCCTACATTTTTTAAGTTTCCTCCAAGTACACTACTTGATTTTGGTGCCTAATTGGACCTCAAGAATGAATGTAGCAAACAACCCATATGTGGATTTGATCCCATATAACTTCATTAAAGCAATAAAAACTGGGTCCAATTAAAATTTATTGCATTATACATACATGCATACATACATATACATATTGTTTATGATTAATAAATTCAATGACACTACATGCTCAAAACAAACAAGAACGTTTAAATAGACAAGGGACATTAGATTTGAAATAATAGAGTTTGAAAACCTTACAAATATGGAGAACATAAATGCTAAGCATGTGGGATGAGTCAGGACTAAAGTATCAGAATTGACTATCATATTGGACAACTTGAATATATATATATATATATGGATATACAAGCATGTCCAAGTTAGGATACAAGACCATTTGTAGTGTATTGCATGTCCCCCTTTATTGATACCAATATGATATGTCCCATATTGAACATATTTTGTTTACACGTTGTTTATGTTGTAAGTTTATTTTGATTTGTTTTTGTAATATAGGTGTCATTTGATTTAAAAGATTAAGAGTAAATTACAAAGACCCCTATACTATGGGGTTAGTGATAATTACCCCCTAAACTTTCATTATGTGACAAAGACCCCCCTTGAATTTTCATTTTGCAACAAATACCCTATGGCCATTATGTTAGATGATGGAATGTGTTGAACTGCCAAAATATCCACATGAACTTTCCTTATTTTCTTTTCCTCGCCCTTTTCCTTAAACCCTAATTGACCAAAAAAATATCTTCATTTTCTCATATCGAAATCAACTAAAATAATAAAAATCATTTCATTGACATAGAAAAACAAGTTTCTTCAAATTCTTGTTTCTTTTCATTGACATCAATGTCTCTCTTCATCATCTTAGAATACAAAAATTATCCACTCCCTCCTCTAATAAACCAAGAAAAACAATGTGAGCCCTTAAATTTACATCTATAAAAAAGAACCCTCTACCATCTATTTGAATATTGAATACAACCAGAAACATGCAAGGATCTATTAAAACAACCAAGAGGACTTGAATATTATATTTAGAAAATTAACTGAATCATGAATCATTAAAATAAACAATAAAAGGGTATTTTGGGAATTAAAAATTAAATGGTTGAATGGTAATCTTTTTTTTGAAGTTAATTGATGGAACTCTAACAAGAGGGGTGTTTGTTGCAAAGGGAAAGCTGAGGGTGTCTTTGTCGCAAACGAAAGTTTAGGGGTAATTGTCATTGACCCCCTAGTATAGGGGGTCTTTGTAATTTATCCTTCATTTCTCAGTAATAACCCATTTTATGGACCTTGCATCATTTGAATGAGTTTTTTCCATTTCCCCCCATGGAGGTAACTACCATTAACCATTTTTATGGTAGATGTAACTACCATTTAAAGCTTGTACTTTTTTGAAAGGGGGAGATAGATGTCTCAAAAAGAACACTTCTAGATAAAAGTGGAAATAACCATAATTTTGATATTCTTCCTTAAAAGAATATAATGTCAATATGTCACTTTGTGTTTATGACAGGTTAAGAAATGATAGAATGAAAGGAATGTAATAAATTGTTCTTCCATCTTGGCAACACTTCAGCATTGTTGTAGGTGATGCTAATCCAATTTTGGAACTTTTTGGATATTCTTGCACTTGGGCAGCCTCTATTATAGATGATGATGATACATCTGTTCACTTGTACCAAATTGGAATGCCAAGATGCCAACCAACTTTACAAGATGAAGGTAGTTGAGAGAGAGAGAGAGAGAGAGTTTTGGGGTACATGAAAAAATGGCAATGAAAAGTTTTGTTGTTGTGGGGTCACATAAGGTTGGAGTAGTTGTTCACTTTGTGACTAAATTTGTTACAAGGTTTGCAACATTAATGGGGTTATAGTAGAGGTGTGATCATTTCAAAGCCTAAGTTTCCTGTTCAGGCCTGGCCCATGCTTGCATCAGGCCCATAAATTTCAAAGCCAAGCTTGAGCCTAATACTTTAGTCCTACTAAACTGCATGTATTTATATATGTTTGTGATAACATAACTTATACATATATGTATACATTTTTTACATTATAATTCGTATAAAAATGTTATTATTTTTTTAAGTTTTTTTAGCATGTATAATTATATATTAAAAATGTTATAATATAACATGTATAATACATAGTACATATAATGTATACAATAATTTTTTTACACATATTATATGCATGTTATATAAAATAATAAACATATTTGATGTATTTTAAATAAAAGTTATAGGAGACTAACATGGGCCCAGGTAGTATCCATTACCACTTATCACAGATACAAAACCAAAACCAACCCATGACCACTCCTAGTTTATAACATATTTAAGTGCATTGTGAAGTGCCATGTTGATGTGGCATTTTTAGAAATTAGAATGATTACAATGGAAGCATGTTTACCACCACCTATTTTCATATTTTCAACATATTGATTTTACTTATGTACTTTAATCCATTATTTAAAAAACCGACCCAAAAACATAACCACTTTGACCATTGGTTCCCGAGTCAAATGGTTCAATCATTTGGTCCAAACCTCGATCAAATAGTTTTGGACTGATCGGAAGCCATGACCAGTTCCCAGGTCAACCAGTCTAATTGTCTGGTCCTGTCCAAATTTTAAAACCATTCTTTTAACCCGTGTTGAGAAACTTTCACAATATGTGACTCAACAACTTATTATTCATCGGTTGATCATCATTTAAGTCCAATTCCAACCGTATGGGATTAGCCACATGAATCGTGTCCCACCATTCCTTATATCCAATTCAATGCCATATTTAATGTTAAACCGGAGGCTTTTAAATGATTTCTAACAACCTCATCCCATGTTCCTTTTGGTTTACCCCTAAAATTGTCCAATCCACATAAATCATTTGTTATATTTATATGGGCACTTCTTAAAAGAAACAATTTTTTTTAATGCATATTTACACATGGTTTTAAAAAATAACCCGGAAATGGAATCATTATGGTCATTGATTTTTGGGTCGACAGTTTGATCGTTCGATTCGATCGGACGACCCATTATGATAAAAAATAAAAAATGGCCAAAAACTGTTGAACGGGTCGATGGTTTGACCACTTGGGCCAATGGGTCGTTAACTTTTTCAACGATTTTTTGCCAATGACCGGATTTGGGGTAAAACGGAACCGATTGCCTGAATAGTTCCCAGGCTGAACGGCCCGACCGTCTTGGTCAATGACAGTTTGAAAACCATATATTTACATAATACACATTACCCAATGGTGTCGGGAGTTGGATACAGAGTGCACATGAGGTCCATTGACTTTACCATATAGAGCTTGCATTTATGTAGGTTAGTTCCAACACCTCCATATTCAGATGGATGTTGAGAGATCATTTAAGTTTTTGTTTTTCTTTTTTTTTAATAAGAGATCATTTAAGTTATTGGGTCACGAAAAAATACAAATAATTGGGAGAAAAATACAAATACAAATACAAATTATATTTTAAATTTTTTATGTATGCATGCATTTGATATACTGTAAACCCATAATTTACATGTAAAATATGCCATTTTTTTTAACACCATGCTTTGAAATGAAAAGCATATATATTAAACTCGGATTCATATTTGATTTTGTATACAATTTAGATTCAAAAACAAAGTGACAAAACAAAGAGCCCCATGAGTAGTTGGGGCTGTTTGATAACAATTGAAGTGGTTAAACTAAAAAAAAGCTTAATACCTTGTCTTTTAGTGAATAGGTTTATAAGGAGGTCGTGGGACAAAATGACTGAAGTAGAAGTCTAGTAGACTCAAACAATGAGAAAGACCTTGGCTGCAAAGGGTGGTTCTATTTATTCCCTTCGAAAAGAAATTTGTAGTCTTGAGCATCAATTAACAATGTTTTTTACAAAATTATTGCTAAACCATACATGCAATAGATGATTGGTCCTTACCAAAATGATTTTAACCCTGGTCTCTATATAAATGACAATAAAGTGATAGCACAAGAGGTGAGGTAAGACTTCATACTTTCTTTTGAAGTTGGATTTATCAAATGCTTATGATCGGGTTGAATGATCTTTTATAATGAGGGTCCTAAAGAAGATGAGTACAAACTTTATAGATAAATCATGTTGCTAACATTGAATATGTTGAATATGCGAAAGGGAAATTGGTGCATATTTTTCTATCTTTTCGATGGAGAGAGAGGAAGGATGAACTGAGAATTACAATGCCCATATTAGTTGGATCTTGTACTTATGTTGATCGTAAGGTAAGGAGATCTGGTTCTCAAATGAAGAGAACAGTTCAGAAATGAATAGTGAATGCATTGAATATTCAAAGAATATTTAAGGGTAAAGGAGTTAGACATATAATGGTGTTTTATTTAAAGAAGGGATGTTCAATTCCTTTGAAAAAAAGGGGAATTTATAGTATTTATTAGAAAACTAATGGGAGATTTGAGTCTTTTACCCTTTTAAAGATAATTTTAAGGGAAATTTTCTGATCAGTACCTCTTACTTTGGGCATAGTGCCATTTTCAAAATGTGTCAATTTAGTACCTATCTGGCTGTTAAGTGGCATTTGAAAAAATATAAATACCCATCAAATGTCATCTAATTCTCTTTATCAATTATCCAAATCTTAATTAAAAAAAAAGGAACAGTCCCAAATCCTTGCTTCTATTCAAGAAAAGCAACATTTAAATGGTTGATAAAGAGAATTAAATGATACTGAAAGGACATTTAGACTTCATTTGGATCCGGTGTAAAATGTTATTAGTGTAAATGCATACTGATGACATTTTACACTGAACTATATAATAGGTGACCGTTATATTTTGAAAACTGTGATAAAAAAGTATAAAGTTTTACATTAATAAAATCGATATAATATTTACATTAATAATCGATGCAAAACTTTATACTTGATATTTAAACCAGAGTAAACTTTTACATGGATTTTCATTTACGCGCCTGGTGTAAACTTTTACATCATCGATTTATACATATTCCAAACACAGCCTTACATCTTTTCAAATGTCACTTAACCGTTAGTTAATGTTAGACAGTTTATGTCTGAAATTTCGAAATTTCGCATTTTAGAATTCGAAGACCAAAGTGCACTAAGCCCAAAATTACAGGATACCGGAATTTTCTAAAACTTTCGGAGATTGGTGCCAACGGGGGAGCGAGCCAGGTTGTCGGAATGTCAATGTCAGTTCAGCTTAAAGAAGAACGAGCCTGAGGTCGTCCTTCTGATTTCTGAAATGCTATTTTCAAACAAAAGATTGTGATGGCCTCCTCTTTTGGATATGGCAGTGGTTTTATTTTTGGTGTGATTCGTAATGGTAACAAGTAGAATCTTGTATTTAGATAGAGGGAAGAAATCCCTGCCAATGTTGTTTGCCAAAATCCCTCGTTTAGCAATCAAGGTTGGTGGGAAGCGAATTCCAATCATCTCCCGACATTTTTGTCTTTCCATCACCTCGGCCAGCACATGGACGCATTTCTTGTCCGAAACCCTCTCTCTCGAACAAGTTAAGCAAGCCCATGCTCTGGCTGTTCTCCATGGCGCACTTCAGAGTAGCGTTCGTATATGTGCTGTCCTCATGCGAAACTACGCTGCCTTCGAAGACTTTGTCACCCCTCGTGTACTCTTCGAGCAGAGCTGTCTCAAAAGCGAGGGTGCCTTCTTGTGGAATACCCTTATAAGGGTTTACTCAATTGCCGGCAGTCAGTATGATGCTTTTGACATCTATAATGGGCTGCTGCGGGCTGGCGTTCGACCTGATGATCACACCTTCCCCTTTGTTCTCACGGTCTGTGCGGATGATTCTGCATCTCAGAAGGGTGAGGAGATCCATGCCTTAATATTTAAATTGGGTTTTGATCGAGATGTCTTTGTGGCCAATACCCTGTTGGCTTTCTATGCGAGTGTAAAGAATTTATCGGACACGCAGCGGGTGTTCAATGAAATGCATGAACGAGATATTGTATCTTGGAATTCGATCATTTCGGCATTTTCAGATAATGGATACTATCCAGAAGCACTCTGTTGGTTTTTTGAACTAAAGTTGACGTCTGGGCTTAAGCCCAATTCCGTTAGTGTTGTCAGTGTGTTGCCTGTGTGCGCTGGGCTTGAAGATGAGATAATGGCGAGTACAACCCATGGGTATGTGGTGAAATCTGGTATGGATTCCCAAGTTACTATCTGCAATGCACTGGTTGACGTTTATGGAAAATGTGGGATTTCGAGTGCTTCAAAGAGAGTTTTTGATGGAATGATTGGAAGGAACGTGGTTTCTTGGAATGCAATTATTTCTACTTTTACCCATAACAAGCTTCATAAAGATGCCTTGTATATGTTTAGGCTAATGGTTGCTGCAGATGTGAAACCAAACTCCATCACCCTTTCAAGTATGCTGCCTGTGTTGGTAGAATTGGAATTTTTCAACATGGGAAAGGAAATTCATGGGTATGGTATAAGGATAGGTTTGGAATCTGATATTTTTGTGGCTAACTCATTGATCGACATGTATGCTAAATCGGGGCATTCAATGAAAGCATCTAATGTGTTTTGCAAAATGAATGTATGGAATGTTGTAACATGGAATACAATGGTGGCTGGTTTTGCTCAGAACAGGCTTGAGTTAGATGCCCTAAATCTGATAAAACAAATGCAGATGCATGGGGAATGCCCAAATTCTGTTACCTTCACAAATGCACTTCCTGCTTGTGGACGAATTGGTTTGCTTCGTCAAGGGAAGGAAATCCATGCCAGATCAATTCGGACTGGTTTCATCTTTGATTTATTTGTATCAAATGCTCTTACTGACATGTATGCCAAATGCAGGTGCTTAAACCTAGCAAGAAGTGTCTTTAACATTTCTCATAGAGATGAAATATCTTATAACATACTGATAGAGGGTTACTCTCTGAGTCAGCACTGCTCAGAATCTCTAAAGTTGTTCTCAGAGATGGGGCTCATAGGTCTGAAGCATGATACAGTTTCCTTTGTGGGAGTTCTCAAGGCATGTGCAAATATAAGTGCAATTAAACAAGGGAAGGAGATCCATGGATTGCTGATAAGAAAGCTTTTCCACTCCCATCTCTTTGTTGCTAACTCACTTTTGGATCTGTACACAAAATGTGGACGAGTAGACCTTGCAAGGCTGGTGTTTGATCGAATCCCATGCAAAGATGCAGCTTCATGGAATACAATGATCTTAGGTTATGGAATGCAAGGGCAGTTAGGGGTTGCAATTGAACTCTTTGATGCAATGAAGGAGAATGGAGTGGACTACGATTCAGTTTCCTATATAGCTGTTTTGTCTGTTTGTAGCCATGGTGGGATGGTTGAGAAAGGTCAGAGGTACTTTGAACAGATGTGTTCTCAAGATATTGAGCCAACACAGATGCATTATGCTTGTATGGTTGATCTTCTTGGACGAGCTGGCCTTATGAAAGAGGCTGAAGAGCTTATTAAGGGACTGCCAATAGTACCAGATGCCAATGTTTGGGGTGCATTGCTTGGGGCATGTCGAGCAACTGGAAATATAGAGTTGGGAGCATGGGCAGCTGAGCATCTGTTTGAGCTTAAACCAGAAAACTGTGGTTACTACATACTTCTTTCAAATATGTATGCGGAAGCAGGAAAATGGGATGAGGCAAAAAAGGTAAGGGAATTGATGCGGTCAAGGGGAGTGAAGAAGAACCCTGGGTGTAGTTGGGTAGAGATTCACAATCAGTTCCATGCTTTTGTTGTTGGAGAGAGCTTAGAAAGGCCAGAATTAGGACACTGGATTGCTTAATCTGGTTAAAAATGTTGACAAAAAGTTCTTGATATCTCCAGAGATTTAGTTGAAAAGATATAATGGTTATTTGTCAACCACCTTCAATGCTCATCATGCCACCACCACTATACATCTTGAAGGTGAATCACTAATTTCCCAGGTCAATGAAACCTGCCTAGTCATTTAATGGGTGTGCTAAATCATCACCTCAGCAACATTATTGTTGAAGCTTTTGTCTCAACAATTTAGATGATCAAATTGGGATCCTGCAGGCTAGTATGACTCTTGGTGCATATTCCATCGTCATTTTGTTTTGCTGATTCCATGATTCACAGATGATTGGTGAATTTTAATGTTGCAGGAATGCATATTGACACATATGAGATAGCCATGGTGAAGATGGTGACCATCAAATAAGCTTTTGGTCCTCCTATCAGAGGCCTAGTTTCAAAGCTCAATATGTCTCCTTTATTCCACTTCATTTCCAGTTACAATGTCAAGGGCACTGAATCTAAATTTATGCTCAAGATTGAATTAAAAAATCATCCTTGAGCTCAAAGGTATTTCAACTCTCTCTCTCTCTCTCTCTCAATATGTCTCCATTTTAAATTTAACCAAGAATTTAAAAAAGTTGATACTATTGTAGAAACTCAGTCAGCTGATTATCTTTTTATGATGTATCTTTCCATTTATAATGCTTGGGAGCATTGTTGTAATATAGACTATATGTACTGTATCATAGATATAGAACTGTGTTTGTATTAGTGACAAAAGGATATAATTGTCCTTTCTCATTCTTTTATATCATTAATATATAAGTTCATTTTCTGGGTTGTGGTTTGACATTAAACGCACTCAAAAAATGTGTTTTCTCTCTTGTACAATCAGCTTCTGACATGGCACCAGAGCGGGTCACTCCATTGACTTTTCATTGAAGATCCAAGACCTGTGACACTAATCTATTTCACTGAGTTCAAGAGGACCTTTGTGCATCCTTTTTTGGAGCTGTCTGAAGCTATACAAGGGTTACTTTGATCAACCAAGAGTTCTTCTGTAAATCGTGGTATAGTTTCTATTCTTATTCTCTATTTTTTTTTATGATAAAAAGAAAAATTTTATTAGAAGAAAGAAAAACTGAATACAACCACCAATAAGGTGCTAAGGCAACACCTTAGCCCAACACAAAGGAGACAAAAACACCAATACTACGAACAAAGTGAAAACATTTTAATCACTGTAGACAAAAAATCTTCTATGAAATCTCTCCCCTTACCACTAATGACCACACTTCAAAAGATAGACTTGGGAGAACTCCTTTAACCAAAAGCACCACCATTGTTCTTCCTCAACAAGCTCATCATCCGTCCCTTCAACTTCCTCATCCCAAACCTCTCCTTTCCCAGTAATAGTCTTCTTCATTCTCTCCTCCCCACACTTCCTCTTGAATTCAGCAAAAGCTCTACGAGCCATAGACCTAAAGATTTTTCCAACCTCTACATCCCTCTCAGCCAATTTATCAATTTTCACACTACTAGTCTTCTCTTCTTTCCTTTCCATTGGATTCTCGCCACTTCTCTTTTCAAAATCTCCTCCAACCTCCCTTTCATCTCCCTCCAAGCCAACTCTGTTCTTAAACTTCTCAATGGTTCTTTTCTTTGTTTGGGTGCAAGTGGAACCCTCCGCCTAATGTACAAAGCCTATTTGCTTCTACTTTCCTAATTTTTTCAAAGAAGAGGGGAAGAATGCTTTGGAGATGCACAAGGGCAGCAGTGTGTTGGACAATTTGGGAGGAGAGGAGCTGGAGAATCTTTCTTGAAAAAGAAAGAAGTAGAGAAGCTGTCATTGAAGCTATTACCGTTAAGGTGGTTCACTGGGTTAAGTCGTTGAATCTTTTTAAGGACATTAATGGCATTAAAGTGATGAGAAAATGGAAAGAGGTAGCTGATTCTGCTCCAGGTAAGGAGGTGGTGAGGCCTGTTTTGTCCTCACCCTCTAGAGGTTTTATTAAGCTTAACTTTGATGGTTGCAGTGAAGGCAATCCAGGTCCTTTGGCATAGGAGAAGTTTTCAGAAATGAGGAATGAAATATTATTGCACTCTACTCAGGTCCAATTGGAATTGGGGACTTGTTAAAGGCTGAAAATCATAGTTGTTATTTGAAGGGATTCAAAAGTCTATAGAGCTGAGTATCAGAAAGTTGTTAATTGAAGGTGATTTGAAGCTTGTCATTAGCTGGCTCCAAAAAGAGGAGTATGGATGGTGGTGTTACATATATGAGAAGAGGAAAGCTGTTAAATTGCTAAAAGGGGTAGACACGATTTGTAATTGGGTCAAAAGAGACGCAAATGCCTTTGCTGATACACTTGCTAAACAAGGGGTGGGAAGGAATAGTTTATTTTGGGCTGTTTGTAATTTTATCTTTTGTTGGGGAGGGCTAAGAGTGTTTATCCCTTCTCTTTTTCACTGTACTAAAGTTTTTCCTTTTTAATGAATTCAATTATGTTATTGATAAAAAAAATGTCTATTCTTAAGGTTGTTTCAGTCTTAAGATCCATCCCAACAGAAACAATATGACAAGAAGATTCGATTTTAATTCCTCTATCTTGTACCACCTTTTTGTATTTGTTAGTAGGACAAGCCCCAACTAGGCCTTCTTTTAAATGAGAAAAGACTATAGTAGCATGCGCAATATGGGTTTTACTTGGATAACAGGATTTTTGCACCACCATCAACCTTAGCAACATTTAATTTGTTACCTATATCCCTCTGCCCCAAATCAACTCCTAACTTTCCAATTATCACCTCAGAACAAAGCTTCTCAGTGCCTTTAGCTACAGAATCCTTCAGAAAAATGTCTCCAGAGAAGGGAGAATTCTTGTCTATTTGGTTTAATAAAACAAACTGTGCTCTTTGGAAGTTAAACTTCCAATTCTTTGTTGAAGGCAAAGGCCAATAAAGATATATTGATGGTTTAACCCATAAACCCAATGATCTGATGTTAAAGATGTAAGTAATGTGGAGTGGACAATGCTAAGATTGCATTGTGGGTTCTTGGATCATTAACAATTAATGTTGCTATTCCATGAGGAGCCTTAGAAATTGCACATGAGATCTTTGATTATTTGGAAAAGATGTACCAACAGTTCAACTTGTCACTACAGTATCAAATTGAAATAGAAATCTTCTATTATAGTCAAGAATAGAAGAAAAATACAAGATTATGCTGGCTTTGTCAACCTATGTATGGACTTAATATGAGCTTGTGCACCTGGGAAATTCCTTGTTTGATTGTTTCATCAAGTTCCTGAAACAACACTTTGATATCAGGAAAGTAATGCATCTTTTAATACATTTATGACCTGAATATGGGGTTATCAAGGCTAACTTTCTTAGTGGGGGAATTGTACCTAAGGTTCAAAGTATCGATGCTTTCTTTTGATCAAAACTAATTTTTTACTGTTTTTTGGATCGATATTTTGACAGGGGACCTATGACATCAATTACTAACTTTTGAAATCATTGAACTAAAATTCATCTTCAATTATCAAAAAAAATATCATTGAACTAACCTAACTTCTCTTATCTAGTGTACAAGTGACCCTGAAAACTGTTGCATATTGGTCTATACGTATTGATATGTTGTGACATTTGAACCTTGATTATACCCAGTCTTGCTGTTATTCTTGATGAACTACAAAGGGAGCAAATTGGATTAACCGCTCAATCTACTCTTGATGGGTTGGCTATCCTTGACATTGAGCCTAGGGTGGACATTAATGTTGTTGATGGGAATAGTGTAAGTGTGACAGTTGGCTTGGATCCTCTTGAAAGGATGGCTGCAGGTGGAAAGCTGAGAGAGGGAACTAGTTTGGTTTCAGAGAGGAGGTTGATGTTGGGGAGGGGATGAAAAGGGGATCTCAAGTGAGTAATGACAGGGACAACTTTGTGAAGTTTTAGGATGGGATTGAAGGAGAAGAACAAAGGTTCAAAGAGGAAGGGGGAAAATGATGCCAAAAACTTATAAAAGAATTAGAAAATACAGAGCAAAACCATTACAGGAAGAGGCTATAGTCAAGGAGGTGAAGAACAAAGGTAGGGATTCTGATGATGAGGAAGTGATTTTTTTATGAGACATGCAATTGAAGGGACGATTGATTTGGAAAAGGCGGTTGAGATAGATGTGGAAGTAAGCAAATCTTTGCGGATGCATATTATTGGAGAGGAAGTTTTTGCTAGGAAGATGTTTTAGGATCTGGAAGAAAGATATCCGATGCCTTTAGAGGATAAAGTAAATTCTAGTTTGGACTCCGAAGAGGTTGTTATCAACTCAAGGTCAGAAATTAATCAGAAAAAGCCAAGTTCTTTTAAGAGAAAAGGGAAGCCAAATCAGTTTTTTGACAGGAACGTGGTCTTGGAGCTGGAAAGAATTAATGATGATCAAAGGGTTACAAGGGATTTGAAGAAGTCTAATGCTGTAAGAAGATTCAACAATCAAAAAACCCATAGAAAAGTTTAGGTTTCAAAAGTGTGTGCAATATTAAAAGGGGGTTTGTTTGGAATTAAGCCTACTAAGAATGTGAAGAAATTGAAGAAAGTCTATAGGGGAATTGGTGAAGTAAAGAGGGTTCTAAATAAGTGCTCGATCAATTCGGTAATTCTTTGGTTGTTTGTACTGTGCTGTTATTTCTTTTGTTTTGTGGCTGCCTTGATTTGGATTGTCAAGGGGTTTGGGGTTGGTCTTTGAAGATGAAGTTACGTCTCTTCTTTCTCTCAGGTGACTGCTTGTCACCTTCCTTTTTATTCTCTTTTCTTTAATGTTATTTTCTTTTACTAGAAAAAATCTACTCTTGATGGGATATGCCACTTGTTAATGCTGATTTTCTGGATAATAAGTCTAAGAAGAAGAAAAATTTCACATGTTTAGTGTTATGAGTACTAGGATTTTGGTCATGTTGTCACATGGGTAGAACAGATGCACTGGGCTCACATCTGGAGGCTGCTGCTTAGTTTTCAATCCTTTTCGCTTATTCATGTAAATAGACAGTTAAATCCAATGGCCCATCTTTTTACTTACTTTGCTTGTAAGGGTAAAGTCACTCTAGCATATCATTCTACTACCCACAATCATGTACAATTATTTTCTAATCAATGAAGCTGCTTTTGTGTGCCAAAAAAAATAGAATGATATTGTCCACCTTTTTTTAATCTTTTTTTTTTCTATTTTCTTGTTTTTTTTTTTGCATTTTGCACTTATCATTTCACTTTCTTATAATATTAAAACTTTCCAAGTTTTTCCTATTCTTTGCCTCCATTGCACTTTTTAAATTGTTTATTAGTTATAAAATTTTGATCACATAAATAATTTAGGACTTTTTGCAAAATAAATGACAAAGTTTGATAAATTTGCAAGTTCAGTTGGGTTTAGAAAATTATGACCAAATGAGTGAGCGAGACAAAATTTAAAAATTTTTGGAGAAAATTGCCCTTGATAAAAAAATAAAAAAAGAAAGCTAGACACTAACGACAATACCCACCTTTACGTTTCCTGATCAAAACCCCTTTTCTTACTCTTTCTTTGTATTTGGTAAACAACTATAACAAGATTATATTTCCTGATCAAAACCCCTTTTCTTACTCTTTCTTTGTATTTGGTTAGGGATTTATAAAGCAAAGACTTCCTGGAGAAGGCATGGACGATGATATCGTGTTGCTGTCACAAGTTCAGATATTAGAAACATTGCACTTTGTAATAATTGCTCCAAAGATATGTTTCTTTAATATATTTCCAACATTGAATAAAATCCCAGTTCAAGGTTCTCTGGCTTTTTTCACCACTGGTGGGGGAATCAGCAACCAATACTCTGTTTCGGTTTTAGGGTAGATGTAGTTCAGTTCTGTTTTGTTTTGATTTTGGGTGGGGTTTGAACTTGGCCCTGGGTTAGTTGAGAAAATGGAAAGATGGGAAGGAGGAGCTGTCGAATTTGGGAATACTGACAGGTTGCTGATCTTACTGTTAGGTTCAGGTACAAACAATGGGAGAGCATACCTAAATGGTTCCTGATGTGGTTCAAGGAGGAGACTTGGTATCTTCGCACAAGGGGGTTCTTATGACTCATGCAGATTTCTCCATTGCTTCAGATGGTAGTCCATGGAGAGAGAGCGAGTATTTCTAAACATATATGATTTTTTAGTTTTTTTTTTTTTTTKTAAAAAACCCAATAATTTAAACATTTTTTAGTGCAAATGTCCAAGTTGAAGAGCAAAATCAGCCCTCATGGGAAACAGCCCCTTGCAACCTTGTGAATATCTCCCATGAAATAAGTTACATAACTACAGAGATATTCCCAACACAAGGCTATAAATGCTGTTGGAAGGAGCTTTGCCCCGACTAAGTCAGACTCAGCAAGGCCTCGCAAAGTAAAATTAAAAAATGTCTAAAATACCCATGAAATTACTATTGAGGCTGATTTTATGGAAAAATAATACAAACTTTATAAACAATAAAAAGAAGAAAATTTAAAGTTGCAGCTTTACCTTTGAGCGATTGATATAAAGGAAAATTTTGAAAAATAAGTCTATTTCAAAAAAGAAATTGAAAGGGTTTGTATGGGTATTTTGAACATTTTCATGCCTTTTTTAGATAATTATAAGAAAGGGGATCTACTAAAACTTTAGTAGAGGTTTCAGCAACACCCAAAACAAATTTTAGGGGAGGTTTACCCATAAAATTTAAAGTTGCCCTTAATATCAATAAAAATAATATTTTTTATATAATAATTAAAATGAAATATTTTTTTTTTGAAAATATCAAATATGGCCATTCGTCTTCCTCCTCTGGTGGCTTCTTTCTTAACGTTTGGCGTTGATAACTCTTAGTCGAGTGAACATAACAGAGATTAGCGTTGGCTGGGACTATTTCCCCTTTACTCATCAATCATCATTATTGCAACTAACCCTCCTTCGTATAGTGAACATAATAGAGACTAGCGTGGGCTGTGTGGTGTTACTGTCAATTTCTGCATCCAAGGGTAAAAGCCAGTCAATCCACCCTTAGCATCGTGATTATTATTTGAGGATTTATATATCTTCAAATCGAAGGAGAATTCAAATGGTTTAAAAACAGCCAATCAGAGTTGAACAAGAGTGGCAAGAAGACTTCACAAAGTTTGGACGCCTGCGTCATAGCGTCAGCATCAGCAACACATCAACTCTTTCACTTTCTGCTTTTGGAGAGAGAAGAAAGACAAAGAAGTTGATCGTCCGATTAAACGAACGTTGTGTCTTGGGTCCGAGCGGCGCCTCAAGTTCCCGGTGTTTCAAGCTGGATGCAGGGTGTGCCTGAGGAAAAATATGGCTTTTGTTCAGATGAAGTATGTAATAGATTCGCTGCTGAAGCAGTTTGAGTTTGAGCCTACTTTTGTTCTACTCTTGATGGCACACATGGCTGATGGATCGAAGGTCCTGGTTAACGGCTAAAAACCCTTGATAAAATATGAACGACAATTCCATCCCGTCAATTTTATTCTCTGTTAAGTTGTTACAATGAAAACACCAGATGTTCTCCGTCTTCGACGTCCCGCTAAAATCAAACATTGCCTCTTCTCTATAATCCTTGAGATGAAGTATTAGGGATAATTTTGGAAGAATAAATAACCATGGCTGATGGCTCCATTCTGATTCAGGTGGTCACGGGAACATTTTTGACAGCTTAGCAATGCAAACGGTTATTGATGAAAGGGCGATTAAATAAATTGGTAGCAAATAATAGAGGTGTTTTTAGTAAAAACACAAATTATAGGTTACGTTTGTTCTCTGGTTGTTCCCATTTCTGCTCAGAATCTCCGCTTAGTTCTTCTATCGAGTTTTGGTAATTGTTTTGGCCAATTTAGGGTTTCCGGGATGTGATTGGATCAATAGCGCTTTCTTTTACTAGAAGATTTGATCCCGTGGAGATCTCAAACGGTGCAGGAGAATGCAGTAGCACAAGCTCGGAGAAGTCGTTTGGCTGAGACTGAAGCTCGGCTTGAACGGGCCAGAGCTCGAGAGGCAGAGCTCAATCGAAGGTTGGAAGAAATGAAGCGATTCATATCCGTCATGGAAATCCTCGAAACCTACCTGAAAAGGCGATTTCGCGAGCGACAGGCACAATTATCTAGTCAGATTCTCTCGGTACCTAAAAGCCAATGATCTTTTTATTTTCTCGCTTATGTAGTGTTTGTTAATAGCCTCTTCCCCCCCCTTTTTTTTCTGTTTTTAATTTAATTTCAAGTATTTACGTGGTCTTCGAATGTTAATATTCAGGTAAATCATTTTCTCTCATTGAATTCCTGTTGAAGTGACTTTACTTCCTTATGGGGTTCAAGTTTTTAGGTAATTGTAGAAATACAACACAATGAAATTATACTCATAAATGGCGAAGATGAATGATATGTTTGACACATCGATTTTGGGTATCATTCTGATCTTTGTTGTAGTTATGGGAACTGCTTTACTAATGCACGCTACTGTGAATGGTATTTTGGTTGTTGAAGGGAGTACCCAGTTACCCATGATGATACCATGGTAGGCTTGCTGGGTTGGATTGATTATACTTTGAACTTTGAATAGCTACAGAGGATGAGGAAGAGATGGTTTAACATGGGAGATATGAGGTTGGTTGAAGAGGATAAGCCATTGTCAGGTCTCTATAAAAGTACCAATCTGGTTGTAGTTAATGGGGTGGTTGTATGCCTGCTTTGCATTGGAATAAGTTGGGGGAGGTGTGGAGACTACAAGGATTGAAGTCATTTCATTTCAGTTATTCATAGCAACTTCATCTTCAGAAATTGAATCATGTCAAGAAGATGAATAGCAACTTCATCTTCAGAAATTGAATCATGTCAAGAAGATGAATATTTTCTGAAATCCTAAAAGGACATTTCTGCTTTTACTATCATTCCTAACAAAAAAACTCCATTTTAGATGATGATTAACACATGTTCTCACTACTCTCAAACACGATGGAAAACTGAAATAATACGGTTTCAATCCAGTTGGTTTTTACTTTCCAGATGGTCCATTGGTTTTTTCTTTTGTTTCCTAAACCAGAGATTAGGAAAGTATGTTGGACAACATGGAAGTGAAAATGCTACTGTAATTGCTCTACTGGTGAGACTCATAAAAAAATTACTCTACAGGTGAGAATTTGTTAATTATTTGTCAAATATGAATATGATGGGAAATCAACATTACCTTGTGCGTTTTCACTTTCATGTTGTCCAACATACTTTTCTAAACTCTGGGTTTTGGGCATGAGCACTACCTTGGGCTGCTAAACCATGAAGGGAACTGTTGATCTGTTTTTGGTCTAAATTGCTGCCTTTGGTTGATGTGTTTTACAATGATGAAAATCTCAAGCATTGGAAAATATTTTATCTAGAAATGGTGCCTCAATATAAACAAGGTTCAGACTTAAGGTTCTCTTTCTCTCTCTTGATGATAATAAAAACATTCACTGTTTTCTTCAATGTAGCATTTTATCCTCTTGTGATATGCACCTCATTTGTTCCAACTTCAAATATATGATGTTGATCAACTGACTTAAGTTCAATCATTGGAACATCTTGCTACATTGGGATGACAACTTGTCCTTGTCAGTAGATAAACAACTGAAAATATGAACTTGGTACTTTCTCAAAAAGAAAATATGATCTTGGTTGTTTCTTCTCTACATGGTCATAACTACCTTTATACCCTCCGATCTGGTTCTACAAGAGGTCATTTAAAGAAGTTTGAGGTTAGTACCATGTAGTTATCTAATTATGGACTGGTCTATGCAACCATGTTCTTCTCAGTACACTTGACATTGCTATGTTTTTTTTTTTTGATAAATAACAAGATAAGTTTCATTAATAGAAAACTAATGCAGTTACAAGCTTCCCATGGAGAGGCACGAGCTGCGTCCTCTCCTAACAGCAGGTAGAAAGACAAATAGAAAACAGATTCAGTCTACAATTGAGCCCAATACAAACTTTCCCTGTTTACCCCTTGCTTTGAAAGACCATCAGCCATAGAGTTTGCTGAATTTTTTAATTTCATTCTCACTGTCAAGCTGCTTGTCAGGCAGTTGAATTTTTTAATTTCATTCTCACTGTCAAGCTCCTTGTCAGGCAGTTGAATTTTTTTAATTTCATTCCTAAAACAGCACACTGTCAAGCTACTTGACATTGCTTTGTTGAGTAATATTTTTCTGTCGTTCTGTTTAATTTTTCTGTTCCATATCTAAACTTGCATGAAACAGCACCTCAAGTTTCAGTAAACACAGGTGACCATTCAATGGAGCTATGGTTTAATGTAGTTGAAATGCCTACTGCCTTGTTATAGAATAAAAAGGGGAAAGGAGAAATTTATTAAGAAATGAAATACAGCAATTTTCTACCAACCTCAACATGACATAGTTCAGCTGGAGCCTGGAGCTTATCCAGAAGAAGCGTACAATCCACTTTAATATAAACGGAGATTTTCTACTAGGATTCTCTAAGTAAAGGTGCTAGTTTGACATATCTTGATTGATATGCTGTAGTCAGCTCTAAGATGTATGTTTACTGTAAGTACATCATCATCATCCAAGCCTTATCCCAACTATATGGGGTCGGCTACTATATATATTTGCTCTCAGAAAGGTTATATCTTCAGTTAGGAAGAAGAATGAATTACTATTCATAATGATCTCGAGGATAAAGGAGCCATCACCCAATGATGGTCCCGGCTATCTGGGGTCTTGTGAAGGGTAGACTAGATACACATCCAACTCTGACGTTTTTATTTTTTGCATTTGCCCTCAGACTCGAACCTGCCTTCCCATGTTTGTCAACCCTAGATTTAACTATTGCAACCAAGCAATAATCCGTAGGTTATACACACTGAATGATGAATAGGGATTTCAGGTATCACCTATTCACTTTTGCCTTTGAGATGCTAATTTCTTGGTAAAATGACATGGGATGTCCAGTGGTTATGCTAAGCTTTTGGGGGTTGTAACCACCATGCATTGTGGGGTTGAGCTTTTAATGTTTAGTTTAAAGCTGATTTAGAAATGAAAGAAAATAAATGATTATGTTGAAGACTTGGTATACAAATGGTTTGGCTGGCCGGAAGGATTGTATACTTTTTTTTTTTTGTGTTTTTGGGAATAAAGTTATTGGATTCAGAAAATAAGGAATGTTGATTTGATGCTTCATTTCTTTTGAGCATCAGAGCCCCTGAAAACTGATCGTGGAAAAGTGAAACTTGGAAGAAGATAGTCTCTCTCTCTCTCTCTCACATGCATATCACTGCACTTGCTTTCTGCTAGTGTAGGCTTTGTAAAAGCAACCTTATCTAGCATCGTGTAAATGTTCTTTTAACAAAAAGGGAGACCTTATTCGGTGCAGATATCTCTAAATATTCCTTCTTATGTGCATGGATTTACTATCCTTTTAGGAAATAAAAGAAAGATCAATGTTGTGTAAAAGTTGACCACATATTTGCAACAGCTCCTTGTAGCCATTCATCTCTTGTTCTCTCGCACATTGGAATATATATTCTAATGCAAGGGATCCCTCATTCCCTCCCACCTAATTCATCTAGTCATCTACGCATATACACACACCAAAAATCCAAAATTCCAGCGTGGTTGGATTGTTTTATACTCTCTGAACTTTTGCATTTTGTAGGAATCCTATAGCTCTGCTGAATGCTTTTCTATCTTACAAATGAAAAGGTGGAGATGGATTTGTTTAAATTCAGCAGCCTTTTAGCAACATTACTTGAAAGAAAAATAAAAACAAAGTTGGCCATTTCTTCAGCAGTTAATTGTAATTGGAACATTTTTGTCGTCCATGACCGCAGATGGGTCTAAGCTCTGTAAAGGGCCCACGTGTGCCACCTCAAATCTACTTCACCTTCTTAGGAACCTTTTGCAACTTGGTGAAAAAGAGTTTCTTTTATTTCCCACTTTGTGCCAGTGGTTGTAGCACCATATCTCCTTGTGAGAGGTCAGGATGTCAATTTTTCCAGGTGGTTGAGGGAAAATTCTTATGGAACTCAACCCAAACACAGCCTACAAGATGATAAGGTTCTCTGACATTTGGAAGGGCTGATAGTTGAGTGTGGGATCCAAACAACAACTGGGTATAATGAGTTTTAATTCTGAAACTGATGACCTTGTCCATATCGAACACTACACAGTCTACACTCCAATTATCTTCAAATCTATAGGTAAAGCAAAGGCTGAGTGTTGGTGGTTGCAACATGTCACATGGAATGAGGAAAGAGGTTGTTACATTCTGATAGATGTCAAAACGATTTGCAAGAAGTGGGATTCCGTGTTTATTTTATGTAATCAATGAATCTGACATCTCCTAGAAATGTTCATGGGAGAAGTGGTTTCCAGGTTCACCAATATCTACGTCCAAAACTGCAAACCATGAATCTATTCATCTCAAAGTGGACACTCGGTCTGTTCAAGGATTAAAATATTGATCCTGTATTGGGTGTATTGTATTTGTATCAGTGTATATACATATATTTTGTATATGAATATAAGATTTGTTTAAAATTTTAAAACTTTTAAATATTATGTAGGACTCTTTAATACATATAAAATAAAATAAAAAAATGGGTCATATTGATATACACCGATACCCACTTAAGGATATAAAAGTATCACGGTATCAATATTTTAATCCTTGGTTATTCATAAAAAAATATTTTAATCCTTAGCCGGTTGATATAGAGAATAGGGTAAGTCAAACAAATCAAAAGGACCTAGTGACTTAACGAACTCTGGTTTTAAGAATTTAATGTCACAAATAAGTAGAACTTGGTGTTAAAATGAATATAGGGTTCTTTTTCTTTTTGGCAGCAAACATTTAATGAGATACAAAATTGCACCTATTTCAGATTTGCATGTGTTTGTAATCATGATTCACATTCTCACCTGATGCAAAATTTGCAACTTTTGCTTTACAGTACAAATATAGCACCGGTTTATTTTGTTTCTCAAAAATTGAAGCAAAATTTACATTATTTTCCTTTGACCTTTATTCTCTGTTTCATAAAGTGGATGCCACATTATTTAACTTCCTATTTTACACTACAAATAAATAACCCTTCCTCTTGCTTTCATTTTCTGTCATGTAAAGTTGAGACCACATCATTTTACCTTTTATTTTTTTTTTCCATTTTACTTCAAATATTACTCCCAAGCAAAACTGACAAAATAAGACATTAAGACATGAAATACAACTAAATCAAAATTTACACTTAAACCCATTTGCACTCCTACTGCAACTACAA